TTGAAATGCAGCCAGGGGATTTACCGTGAAAGGGCTCCCCCATAGTGCTGTCCTGCGAGCTCGCTGCCTTATCGCTGTCACGACAGCGGCTGGTTAGCCTATTAGCGCCCTGACTTCGGGTGGTGCCCCCAGCATCTCTCGGGCAGGCGGTGATGCCGAGGGATCTGCCCGGAGGCGGGGGAGGAGGACACCCGGCCCAGAGGTGCCCCCGCACAGCGGCTGTCCCCGTTCTGCTGTCGCTTCTTGCGCCGTGTCCTCTGCAGAGCCACCTGTGGGCAAAGTTGCCTGCAGTCCCCTCCGCAGTACTGGAGTGGTTTGTTCAAGACGAAGTAAAAGCCAATGGCTCCACTGTAAATACTTCGGTATTTGGGGAACTGGGATGATAGTAGCATGTTTGAAATTTCAAATGTCAGTATTTTCTAGAGTAGATGAATCTGAAAGGCATTCGCATGAAGGCCTGACAGAACAAGTTTTCCAGTTGTGTATAACAACTGCTGTTTCAGAATAGATCATTTTCCCCAGCATAGCGCTTAACAGCAGGCTTGATTGCTCAAGTAGTATTCCTGTCATTCTTTGATAACATGTTTTGATAAACATGGTATCTTATTTTACCAGCCAGGGAGTTTTAAATGTGATTTGCAAAGCTGGAGGAAACCCTGTATCTTATCAGAGAAACTGAAAGTTCACTCCAGGCCACTTTCAGTTCGAAAAACTGCACCTTTGATAGCAATTTCCTTGTCTGCTAAGAGATGGATTGCACGAAAGGCCAGAAAAGCCATGCCAAGGACCTTGGTATATGGCAGGTAGAACTACAGAAGGCAGTATTTGAGGAGAAGGAGGGATTCTGAGAAGCAGCAGACATGGCTAAGGATACTGTATTTAAGGAAATAGAAACTCCTCTAGTTGACTTGTAATAAAATGTGCTGCTTTCCTTTGATAAAATGGAAAAAGTGTTAGGCCTGGGGATTTCGTGTGCCTCTACTGGATTACTGATTTTCAGGATTTACACAGAAGAGTGATTAAAAATGCCTGAATTTCTAGGATTCTCTCCATTTAGGAAGATGGCCTCTGTTTCATACAGCACTGTGTTCCAGTCAGTGAGCAGTGGATCCTATGAAATGTATAGCTTTCAGAAAAGGTACGCTTACATAAAAGTTATATTTGTGCTTTCTTTGACAGATTTATCCATACAGGAGGAAATGTGATGAAGCATCATGTAAAAAAGTATGTGGATTTTTTTTTCTTCTTAATTTGCATTAGCAGTACAGTTGATCAAAGAGGTCATAAGTAGAAAATAAATATCTTGGAAGATTTTGTAAGATATATGTATTTACTATAAGCTTTTAGATACAGAATTGAACCAGTTAAACCATGGATGATAATTATATTTTAAACTTATTTTTGTTATTTTTAGTGTCAACTGAGTATGTGCAGGAAACTTGCATTCACTTCGGAGTTGGATTGCAATTGTAAAATGTGCTTCTGTGTATACCAGTAGAAGTGTCTGCAAAGTAGTTTAACTTCAGACAGCCATTTGCCATGCTGTATTTGTATGAACCCTGTGGTTAGCAAATAAGGCCACCCAGGACAGTTTTTTCTATCAGCATTTCAGCACACGTGATCTGTGTGCAGTCTTGTGTTTTCAGACATGTGTATTACTTTCTCACTGTCCTTTCTTCAGGCGCACCAGAGGCTGGAAATCCCTCACAGAAGCTCAGAGCCAGGAAGATAATGTCTGTCAGAAACCAAAGTAGGTGTCGGGTTGAAACATGTTATTGCACATTCTAGAAGTGATGCTATAAGGATGACATTTTGGTATCTTTAAATGAGAATTATGAAATTGACTCGTATCATGGTTTGTAATTTTTTTTTTTACAAGGTGATTACATTTAGAAATTTACCATTTTGAACTCTGGTGTTTTTCTCTGCATCCCCACTAGCAGCTGAATGGGTTCCTTGTTGGTTTTGTCAGTGCTTGGACGAGCAGGCAAGCTTCCTGAGTGTGCTGGGTGCCCCAGTCATTTCCTCATTCTGAGGATGTCTGAAACCTTACTGCTGTTTTCCTTCTCTCCTCTACAGCTGTCTGGTTTCTATTGCAGAGAGACCTTGCAGGAGATGGGGGTGGGAATCAAAGTTCAGTCCAATATGTTGTGTATCTGGGTGATCAGGAATAGATGTTGAGTGCACACAGTGAAACACATATGCTCCATATTTCAGATTCAACCTCTGAAAACTGATCTTGGAGATTTCTTTCCTGCTTCTCCAGAATATATTATCAATTTGGTGGCTGATTTTTTTTCCTTTATCCCAGTAAGAGATTTACTGTGTAGTGCCTTAATGTTCAGTGATACTCATATTTTAAGTTTAAAGAAGGGTTAAACAATGAGAGATAAGAAAGTTAGTTGTTGTCTGAGACCAAAACAAGACTGTCAGAATTTTAAAGAGATCTGAGCAGACTGAGTGAATTGACCAACAACATTCAGGTCTGATAAATACATACCATCCAGGCTGATGATCAAAGCTGAGAGTAGTGGCTGACGCACCAGAAGGCTGTGCTGCCAGTCAACATGTCCTGGACAAGCTGGAAAGTTGGATGGGAAAAAAATTTAATGAAATACAACAAGGGCAGGTGTAGGTTACTGCATCTGGGGAAGGATAACCCCATGTATCAGTACAGGATGGGGGTGACCTGCTGGAGAGCAGCTCAGGAGAAAAGGACCTGGAGTCCTGGTGGACAGCAGGCTGACCATGAGTCAACAATGTGCCCTTGTGGCCAAGAGGGCTCAATGGCATCCTGGGGGGCATGAAGCAGAGTATGGCCAATAAGTCGAGGGAGGTTCTTCTCCCCCTCTACTCTGCCCTGGTGAGGCCACATCTGGAATACTGTGTCAAATTCTGGGCTCCCCGGTTCAAGAAGGGCAAGGAATGACTGGAGAGAGTCCAGCATAGAGCCACTGAGATGATGAGGAGACCAGAGCATCTCCCACATGAGGAAAGGCTGAGAGAGCTGAGGCTGTTTTTTCTCCTATCCTGGAGAAGACTGAGGAGGGATGTCATTAATGCTCATCAGTATCTAAAGGGCGGGGGGTCAGGAGAATGGGACCAGAGTCTTTTTGGTTACACCTAAAGACAAGACGACGAGCAGTGGTCACAAACTGAAATGCAGGAGGTTCCACCTAAACATAAAGAAAAACTTCTTTACTGTGAGGGTATGAGAGAACTGGACCAGGCTGCCCAGAGAGATTGTGGAGTCTCCTTCTCTGGAGACATTCAAGACACACCTAGACATGTTCCTGTGTGATCTTCTTGACGTGATCCTGCTCTAGGGGACTTGGACTGGAGGTGCCTTTCAGCACCTACCATGCTGTCATTCTGTGATTTTGTGAAAGAAAAATTCTTACTTTACACTATTTTTTTAAAACTTTTCTTAGTTCAATATGGTGTGATGCACTGTGATGTGATCTGCAAAAAGTGGAAGACCACCTTTGTAAAATCAGCCTTTATCAATACAGGAGGAACAGGATGAAGCACCATGTAAAAATGTAAATTTTATTTTTTTTTTTTAATTTACAGTAGCATTACAGCTCCATTTGGAATGAATTGAGGCTTACCGATGACTTCATTGAATTGTTCCCACAGATGGGAATGGTAGAGAAGGTGTTTAAGGACTGAGAAAAAAGTTAGATTGCAGTAAAATTAGATGCAATAAAATAATATGATGCAATAAAATAATATCCAACTGAAGGGATAGCAACTGAATTTTACATTTAAAATGTGTGAAAGGAAGTACTTTGTTACGTGCCCTCATGTCATGGTTTAGGGCTGGGCTGGCCACTAAATGCTGGACAGATGCTCTCTATTAACCCCTCTCCCCTCCTCAAAAGGGGAAGAGTAAGAGAGTAAGGGATAAAGAGACTTACGGGTTGGAAGAGAAAACTAAGCGATTTATTGAGATAATACTACTAATACTACAGGATAATAATGTAAATATGGAAATAATGAGCTATGTACAAATATATTTAGGGGCTGGAATTCATTTCTTTGTGAAGCTGCTGAGGTTGAGACTATTGCGAAAGAGCAGGATACGGATATGAACACCAAGAAGACTTGGAGCTGTAGTTAACTGGGTTGCACTTTGTAAGGGCTATGACTGACATGAGGGAGATGAGTGGTGACCGTCAGGGAAGGAAAAGGGCTACAAAAAAAACCCAACAAAATGGATGCATTTGGGAAAATCTGGGCGCAGCGCTGCTCTCGGCGGTCCGTACGAAAGAGCCGTGGTATGCAGTCCCCAGGGTTGCCCCTCGTCCTTTCGCTTTCGCTTCCAGGTGGCGCGGGCGGTGCTGCGGGAAACGAAACTGGGGCGGTGCCTGCGAGCTGCCCGCCCTGCTTCCGTGCCGGCTGCGGGGGTCCCGGGGTGTCTGCCACGGCTCGGAGGGAGGGCAGGGAGCCGCTCGGGCCCGTCGAGGGAGACTGCCCGCACCCCTGCCCTGCAGCGCTGCCCGCACCCCGGCCCAGCGTCTTTCCGCCGGCAGCTCCGCCGCGCTCGGCGCCTTCCCGCCGGCGGGTCCGCGGCCTGCGCTTGTCTTCGGTCTGTCACCGAGCCTGACGCCCGTCGCAGTTTGGAAGGGTAAGTTACGGTGGCTCTTGGCTCCCCTGTGAAGGAACTGATTCTAATTCTGTCCGGAGAAACGTTACAGATTTTATTGATTGATTGACTGGTTGATTTCCCCCAGAGTTTGGTGATTCAGCCTTTTTCTGCCATGAAACTTGCTAGGAAATCTTCTCTAATCAGTAAATTCTATTCTCTGCTGTTTCTAAGTAGTAAGTCTTCAAAAACAGTTGCACATTAACCACCTGAATTAGAATTAATTAACTTCAATGAATTTAACTTCATCTTCCGTGGCCTGCCAAGATAGGGACTCTCTCTGAACTATGCCAGGAGGCACAGACGTGTCTTTGCATGTTCTTCTGCAGAAGCTGCTTGAGATTGTGTCGAAATGGAACGGGAGTGTATGGAGAAGATCAACCACTACTGTCAAAAGAAGAAACTTACGTTGGTTTATGCCGATGTCAAAATGACCGGCCCCTCTCATGATCCTGAGTAAGTCCACTATGCGTGTCAATAAACATCGGGACTCTTCCTGCAATGAACAAACTGTGCAATCATAAAAGTTAACTTGCTGAAAGTGTGTGTGGCAGGAGAATGGGTTGAAACCATCACCTGAGCAGTAGGTGGGTGGGGAGGATGCCATGTGGTAGAGTCCGAGGAGAAAACTTATTTCAGAGTTGATGGCCCTTTTTTGGAAAGCAACAGCAATGCGCATGTTGCTGGTAACTATATTGTAAGTATGTTATGCATCTGCCATGAAATCTCTGAGGAAGTAGGGTGGGTTGCAGCAAGTATTTCAGTTTATGATCTATGCTAACTTAAGTATTTTGATTTTTATTTAGTTTTACAGAGCATGGAAATGATTTGTGATTTGTGTTGTTAATTTTTAACCACAAAGGTTGAGTGTATATTAATCGAGTACCAACGTATTTTACGTACAGTTGATTTTTGAACATCTGTTATAAGAGAAGGGTCTTTTGCTTAAGCTGCTTTACTTTTAGAGACAATTACAGGTGATGGAATATGTTTTATTTTTTAATGCAAATAAGATGTTTTGCTAATATTTTTCCTTCGCCAGAGATCATACTCAAGATCTATGATGTTTCCTTGTGTGATTTTTTTAAAATTTTTTGTTAGTTTGCATGAAGACAAGCCTTATGCTAATAATTAGTATGTTTCTTTTAATTTCTTATCTGTTGCCAGCCAGCACTGTCTGTGCTAACTTATTCTTAGACCTGACCATAGTCCCAGAATAAATTAATAAATACTGTATGAGTCTCAAATGTAAATCAGTTATCTTAATTTTTTCCCCATGCGGCTCATGTAATTCAAAAAAGTAACCCTTGTCGCAGTAATGGCCACAGCTGCTTCAGTGATGGCATGAGGCTAACAAAATCTACACGTTTCAAATTTACTCGTTTATCCCATTTGTTGTGCTTTTCCAGTTCTTTGTGTGCTCTGCTACATTCACAAATGCAATTCACCCCATTCTCTTGTCTCTGTAAATGATATGAGGTGTGATAGTGGTCTTTAGGAAAATCCTGGATAACTTGGGCCATTCCAAGGAATACAAAGTGCAGTATCTGAAACCTCCTTCGGTGCCCTTGTGGTGCTCCATCCCAGTGCTCTGCCTGCTAATGGGATGCATTGGCCACTGCTGGTTCCGAGCTGGCTCCCTAGCTCTTCTGTGCTGTGTCCCATCTCCTAAGTTCTCCTGCAGTTGTCTGAGGCATCATGCAGAGACACCTCCTGTCATCTCCTCCCTTCCTATCCTGGTTTTGAAGCTGTAGCTGCTTCCACTGCAATGTCTGGCAGGGTCAGTGCTGAATGCAATGCAAGAAGGTTGCGAGAGCCTGGGCTGGCTCAGTTCTGAGTGGCGTCAAGCTTTCTTGGGCTGGGAACACAGTGTGTGGACAACCAGGCCAGTCCTGCCTACACCAGTCAAGTCTGGGCAGTGCTTAATAACTTGGAATCCATGGTGGATAAGTGTGACTGTACATTTGGGACCAACTCATGTAACACTCATTCAGATAATCCTCAACTCGGATAATTCACTAGTGAGAGACAGACTGCAGATTTCCTGAGGATGCTTACATAAAATGGGGAATTTTAGATGCCAAGTGATAGCTGAATGTGTGTAGTATTCAGCACTTAGATATGGTTTGTTCTTTTCTCCTCTGTTGCCCTCTGTGTATGGGCAGTAGCAGAAACAGGGATTTTGCAGCTGCAGAACAAGTCAGATCTGGGTAAGAACTGATTTGGCTGAAAACCAACCGTTTGTTACTGGGTCACTGTGGTGGGCTGACCCCAGATGGCAGCAAAACCCCCAGCCAGTCACTCGCTCACTCCCCCTCAGTGGGATGGGGAGAAAACCGAAAGGGTGAAAGGAAGAAAAGCTTGTGGATCGAGATAAAGGCAGTTTGTGAAGCAAAGCTTGTGCTTGTATGTGCAACCAAGGCAAAATATGGGATTCATTCACTACTGCCCAGCGACAGGCAGGTGTTTAGCCATTTCCAGGAAAGTAGAGCTTCTTCAGATGTAACGGTTACTTGGGAAGACAAAGATTATAACTCCAAATGTCCCCTCTTACTCCTCCCTCCCCTGGCTTCTATTGCTGAGCGCGATGCCATATGGCATGGAATATCCCTGGTTGTGTCCCTTCCCCAACTTCTAACACACCCCCCGACTCTTGCTGGGAGGGAGGCCAGAGTGGGGAAAATGAAAAAGCTTTGATGCAGTGCAAACGCTGCTCAGCAATAGGTAGAACATTGTGTTAGCAACACTGTTTTAGTCCCAAATGCACAACACAGCACCATATGAGCTGCTGTGAAGGAAGTTCTCCATCCCAGCCAGACTCCATGCTGTCCTGTGGTGTACCCGCTGCTGTGCGGGAAGCAGCGCAGGCACAATTGTGCAGTTTTTTGTTTGTGGTTGTTTTTTGTTTGGTTGGTTGGGGTTTTTTGCATGTGTGGTTTTGTTGTTGGTTTTTTTGGCACTGCCTTTAAATTCAGGTCTCATGAAGCACCAGACACATTATTTTGTGCTTTCTGAATAGCGTACATAGCAGTGTAGCGAAGGTGAGTGTAATGTCAGGTCTGGATCCATGAAATCGAGTTTAGCTGATCTTTCCTCTCCATCTAGTTTTGCAGTGCTGAGACATGTCCTGGTGTTAGGGCTTCACAACCTTGCCTGTGGCAATGCTGACCTTACGTATTCTTTTGCTTTTAAAAATTTAAACTTTTTTGCTTTTAAAAAGCAGTTAAGTATTTCAAAATCCTGTTAGAACTAATAAAGTATGTGCATTTGTGATGAGGGAGGAACCATTTAAAAATATTTCTACTAAAGAGTTATGATAATCTGGAGTTAAGATATAATAACACATGAATACTTAAATACCTCCACAGTTAACTTATGGTGCTTTGTCCATAATGAAAACAAAGTTGAGTCTGAGCAGGTTATTAAGTATATATGAGACAAAAAATGTGAAAGAGT